AGAGAGAAGAAGCAACAAGCTCAGAAGCCATCACTGCCACCTTTGGTGTCCCCAAAGCACCCGTCTCCTCACCACCACACTTATAAGCCCTGAGACCTGAGTCCAGCACTTGAGGCTCAGTCCTTTGGGTACACCAGGCCAACATATGGGTAGGGGGCAGTAGCACTCCAAGAAATGCCAGAGGGAGGTAAAAACCACCAGAGCTCAGGTCCTGAGCAGGGGTACCTCCTAAGCATGCTTTCCTCATGAGAACATCAGGCAAGCAAATAGTTTCTTCAACTCCACACTTCACAGGCAGTGAGTTCAATAGTTTGCAGATAATACACCCTTTCCATCCATCCTTCAAGTGACCAACCACCAAAAGCAGCAAAGTTGAATCTATGCTCTGCAACAGTGTTGGTTACCTCAGGTTGTTCCCAAGGCTTGTAATTTTGAAATAACATTGCACAAACCTGTCTTCTTTCACTGTGAGAAAGATCTGCTAAGGCTTCCTGTAGCAAGAGAAGGTAGAGGGAAAGTGACTAGCTAATTTGAATGTTGTTTTACCATTTGGTTGAGACTATGTTCTGGACTGGTCAGCTGTTGCCCCAAGATGACTCACTTGCACTCAATTTTACACCTTTTGTGCTATCAGTCCAACCACATTCAGCTGAACATCTGACAATGAGCTGCTCAAGTGCCAGAGAATAGAGTCATTCATTCATCCTCAGGGGTTGTCCAGAAGAGACATTCAGTGAGGATAATCTGGATCAGCTTTTGAAGACACCGCTTATAACCAGCGGGAGGTTCCCAAGCAGCCTTAACTCAATTAAGCATCCTTCCCTTAGGACAGGAGGCCAGCTAAGCTTGCATTAAAGCTCATCCAGTGTCCTGTTAATCAGGTACACTTTAATATCACAGCTGTGGTCATCCCAGTGGAGGCCACCAAGAGACCTTGTCGTTTTTCACCTCGTTTTGTCATTTCAGCTATTTCTGCTGTTACTTTGGCTAATGAGATGAAAGGCCCAGCAGCTTTGCCCTTACCCACTTTGCTTTCCAGACTCCACTCCAGTTTTTCTTTTCACATGAACTGTGTCACACACCAGACTCTCATTGACTAACTGCCCGAGGGGGATCCTCGCTGAGTGTTAATTGCTGTTAATGAGCTGTTGCTGCTTTCCTTCCAAGAGCACCAATTACAACAGCACTCAGGCACTGCAAGAAGATGCGTGTCTGCTGTAAATTAAGGCAAATTTTACTCCAGGCCCTGGTATTGCACTGGCAGCAACTCCTGGAAAATGCTTTAAATCAGGATGAGACTGCGTGAAGGATGACAACAGGCAGCTCTCCCGCCATTGCCTGTCCCCTTGTTCTTCATATGGTGGGTCAGGGTGTGTGAGAAGTCCCGGACTTGCTTCCTATGGCTCCTGTTGTTCTGCCTTGCAGGGACGTCTACACTCAGCTGTTCACCTGAGCTCTTGCTCAAGTCTTCCTCCAGCCACACAGCCCCATTGGTGGGTTTTACACATGGGTAATGGCCCAGCTGGCTCAGAGCACAGCAGGACTTGTCTTGTCCCATGTGCTACTACAGGAGTGCAGGAAGGACCCAGCAAGATGGTGTGATGGCCTGGTGTTGTGCACAGCAACACTGACATCATTTCATCTCCTACCCCAGAGCTGGGGGCAGCTCCTTCCTTGGCTACAGCAGGGTCCATCCCCACCAGAGCTTTTAGATCCTTCTTTCCAAACCTCCTTTTGCTTGCCTGCTAAGTAAGCATGGGAGATAGTATATGCTACTACAGTGTGGCCCTGGAAGTACACTGAGATATCCCCCAGCTAAGAAGTACAAGAGCTGCCGCTGTTCCTAGGACTTCTCCCTCCGGAAATGTGGTTTGCCTTTCTCAAAGCTTCAGCCCAAGGGAAGATTTTACATGAGAGATGTGCTAAGATGGTAAAAACTTTTGTATAAGCCATGCAAGGTCATGCAAGTCAAGACACAGTATTGAGACCCTTCACCAAAATGGACTGAATCTGTCTACAATGCTAGTAAGAAATTGTCCAGTGTCTCACTCTGACTTTCTCATTTGGGTTATTTTTGGTCATACTAAGGGACATTCACATCCAAAGCACTCTTTGTGCTTGACATGAAATACAGCTTATTTACTCCATGAATAATATTCCCAAACTTTTGTCCTGCTGCCTTGATCTGAAAGGAGATTTAGAAAGCACCCCCTGCAGTGGGGTTTCACTCTCTCCCAGCTCTCCCAAAGCTATAGCTCCCTCCTGTGCTCTGGCACATGGTTCTTCAGCAGGTATGAAAAAGCGCAGGCATCTTGGCAGAGCAGCAGCCAGTTCTCCTCCAGTTACAGACTGAAAGCTGTTGTTCACATCGAAGAACCTGGCTCCTATTGTGCTGCCTTTCTACAGTTTGTTAAATTTTATTTCACATTATTTCTCCCATTTTGGCTTCCACCTTAAAAATCCTTCTGTAAGTTCCCCAGCTGCCCCACTCCTCATAAATGTTCATTTAAGTGTAATACCTTGCAAGCAAACCCAGACGTACTCTCTTAGCAGGAGCTCTGCCTAAACAAAACCCCTTAGGCTAAGGTCACTGGCTCCTGTATCTTGGGATTCATCCACTAGCTTTTGGGGGAATGACACCCCCCTGGCCATGACCTTGGGTGAGCTTAGGCTCGCCTTGGTTTTTCCCAAACCCACACTACCAATTTCCAAGTGGTTTTCCCACAAACACCATATTCTTCCCCACGAGCCAGGGTAACCTCAGCAGGGACAAGCCCAGGGAGGGTGGATGTCCATCAGCATCTCTGAAGAAGCCAGCCAAAGGCAGGTCAGAAGAGCTCAGCAGCAGCAGGATTCAACTCATGCCCTCACATTTCACAAGGCACACCGGATTTCATTTTCAGAACTTAGCCTACAATCAATCTTGTCTTTTGCACAGGCCAATGAGGTCTGCGGAAAGAAAGTTGCAAAAGATTTGTTATTTCCCTAGTGTTCCCGTTCCTTTCCCACAGAAGCAAGGTTTTTGTTTTGGTTTGGTTTTTTTGCTTTCCCAACTTTCAGGGGAAAATCCTGACAAATGGAAGCCCTGATTCATACCAGCAAAAATTTGGCCTTTTTTAGTTTAAGGTGGAGCTCTTCTCATCTGAAGATGAAAACATTTCTCTAATTGCACACAGAGGGTAAGGAGACTTTGCCCTGCTGAAGTAAAGGCCAAGTGGCATCGGATGCTTGTGGCCACCACGAGCGGGGAGTTGCGCATGCAGGAGAGCTGTCATGCAGGCAGATGAGCCATTGTGCAGGCAGGAGAGCCGCTCACCTCCTCCATGCTCAGAAAAGCACTGCCTGTGCTCACTCACAGAGGTGGGAAACAAGGGAACAGGCAGGCACAGGGTGGCGATGGTGGCTGTCACCAAAGAGACTTCTGAGGGTGGGGAAACGTCTTGTGGGAGGATGCTTGGGTAGAGGAATGGTGTGAGGCTTCATGGCCGGAGGGATGCATTGGAAGAAAGGCTCCCCATCCTCCTCCTGTGTTTTCTAAGATGACTGAAGGACATGTAAGGGAAGGGAGCAAGAGAAGTGCTGCTCCTCTCCCATCACCACCACCTGAGCAGAGATACCTGCTTCCCTCCTCCCTCCATGTCCCACCCAGGGAGCAGCAGAGAGAAGAAGCTGGCTTGAGAAAAAATGATTTATGGCCACAGCCTACCTGCTTCCACAGCCCAGGGGAAAAAAGTGAAGGAGAAAGAAGCTCATCAAAGGAGTAATATGTCCCTAAAACCCTCCCTTGCAGCTTGTCTCCCCAGATGCTGCCATCTGCACTGCACCACTCCCACTCTGATGGGCACCTCTGTCTGTGACCAGGAGCTGGCAGCAGAGAATGAGCAATTTTCTCTGACACCAAGACAGAAATGGCTTAAAAAAAGAGAAAAACCCATGACTTTTTTTTCCCTTCCCTGTCTCCAGCCAGAAAGCACATTTGGCAGAGCCTTGAGTGCTGGAAGCCATCAGTGGGGCTGCTGGTACTTCAGAGCCTCCCGGGAGAAGGGCAGGTGTGTGCAAGCCACTGACCATGCCAAGGCCACTGTCCCCACTGCCACAGGGTCCCCTATCATGCAGGGGGGGTCCCGCTCTCCATCCTGCCCCACCTGCTGCCTCCAAAAGGCCCTAGGGAATGCAGGGATCCCCTAACGCTGTGCATGGATGCTCCACAAAGCACTGTGGGTTTTGCAGTGCATTTTGCACCTGTGGCATGCGGTAAAGTCACACGTCCTCCTCCGGCACTGAGCAATCACCCCATGCCTTTGCCTGAAGTGGGACATTTGCTCTGCAGCCACCATTTGTCTATGAGGTGAAGAGTTTGATCAGCCCCTGCCCATGCTGAGCCAAGGGCATCTCCCCGCAAGCATCACTCTGCAGGCTGAGATTCAGGGAGGCTCACACACATCAACCCACACCTTACCAAATCCTGCCACTCACCCCCAGAAGTGTCGCCTCCTCCTACCCAGCCTACTCAGGCAAAGACATTTTGAATACAAATTAAGAAATCAGGCTTTCAGACACATCCAGGGAAGGTGAGGAAGCGGCAGCAATCCCCCTACTGCATCTTGTGCATGGTGTCAGGGGAAGCAGCACCCTTGGCACGGGGCTTCTCTGCCCACCCTTGATGTGCCCGCAGTCCCGCTGGCATGTCACTGGAGACCTGCAGCTCTGCACTGGGAATCCCCCCACAGAGGAGTTCCCTGCCATCCATGCTCATTTTGGGGGTGGAAAACACTTAACAGCAGGGTGTTGCAGAGGGACAGGACTCAGTGCCATCCTGCACAATGGGATTTACCTGCCCTTGATGGCACAGCACACCCGTCCCACAGGAAAACACCCCTCTCCTTTCCCACACTGGAAAACGGAGGGTCAGAAGCAACAATCCAGGTGCAGAGCAGGTGTCAGGGAGAGGGTGCACCTCATCCTCAACACGCCACCTCCCCCATAAACCCTGCACCTACCGCTGGGGTGAGTCAGGGTCGAAGCAGGTCCTGGCCACGTCGGTGGCCCGTGGGTCACAGCAGTCGCCATCGTCAAAGTCATCCAACATGTTGTTGCACTCCATGTGGCAGATGCCATCACGGCGCTTCCAGGAGAAACAGCGGCCAGGCCGGCGGCAGTCCCCGCCATCATAGCCAGTCAGGGGATGCTCGCACTCAGGGTCGCAGCGCTCATTGCCCACCTTGCTGGGCTCACAGCCCAGGAGGACAGTGCGGCGGCGCAGGGAGGAGTTGCGTACCTCCAGCAAGCTGAGCTGCCAGGAGATGTTGTAAGGTCGGAAAGCCTCACTCAGCGCCCAGTGTTGCCGCCAAACTTGCTCCCGGCTGACCGTCGGCCGCCCGCCATCATCCTCTGCCAGGTTCACCACCCGGTACCGCACCACCTTCCCGCTGCGCAGTGGCCAGTGCTTGTTGTAGTGGGAGACCAGCTCCACATTATCACAGGCAGTCTGCCCGCAGGCAGTGGGGCCCAGGGGCCACAGGACAGGGCACGGTGGGGAAGGCAGCACCCGCTGCTGGGGGAAGTTGCCTTCCTGAAAAGGTGTCCAGTGCTTCTCAGGGGTGGCAAAGCCAGCATCCAGAGCCAGCCCATCTACACCCCCAGTCACCCCCTCTAGGAAAGATCTCTGGAGATGGGGTTGGGACAGGGCACCCCGCCACAGTGCCAGCCCGGCCAGGTGTCCCCGGAAAGCGTGCACGGTCCCCCAGGCATCCCCACCCAGCAGCAGTGTGCGGCAGGAGGCCATGAAGGTGCTGTGCAGGGGTCCCCCCTGACCACCGGCACGGCCCACCCGTGCCCCGTCCACGTAGAGAGCCATCCACCGCCCATCGTAGCTGGCAGCCAGGTGGGTCCATGTCTCGGGGCGGTAGCGGTGGTAGGCAGTCACCTCAGTGGCAGTGTCCGCCCGGTCTGTGCGGAGGGAGAAGAAGAAGCGGGCGTCCTTCTTGCCACCAAGTTGCAGGGCGCGGATGCCCAGTGCCCAGCCCTTATCGCTGGCCGTGTGTGAGCAGTTGTCGAAGACACCTGCAGCAGGGACAGGGACATGGATGGAGAGAGAGGAGAGCTAGTGAGGACTGGAGGGCACCACCATTCTTTCCTGGAGCATGAACTGGGTCCTCAGCAGTGGGACAGCTCTTGGCAGGGCAGCAGGGAGGCTCCTTCTGCCACTGCCATGGGTAAGTGAAGGTGGCCAGAGGCTGGGCAGTGGGTGCTGCACCAGGGGGGACACCCCAGCCTGCATCCAAAATCATTTGGATGAGCAGGTGGAGTAGCCAGGAAGGACAGCAGAGACAGAGAGGCAGGATGGAGACGGGAGGAAGAGCATGGATGGGAGGAGAGGCTGAAGAGAGAGGTGTTCCTGAGCTGCTCTCCATTGGAGCACTCCTGCAGGACGGGATTAGAGACTAAGCTTTTTATCTATGGGCCAAAGCTTTTAAGAAGTAGAGCGCAGCCACCAAAGCAAAACAGTCTCCTCCAGGGACTGCTTCCCCAACTGCTTCCAGGCAGATTTGCAGCTCTCCTTTATGCTCCAGTTTTCCCCCCAGTCATGCATCTAGCACAGGTGGGCAAGGGTCAGAGAGGGATGCACTGCCTCCAGCCAGGCAGGTGCAATACTCAGCCCATGAGGTCTCCTGAGCATAAATCCATCCCCAGGAACAGCTTTGGGCTCAGCCTTTCCCTGTGCTCCCAAGCATGTTGCAAAGCTGTGTTTGCACATGGCTGGGCTTTCGACTTTCACTGAAACTCAGGCTGCTGAGTGCCCACAGTTGAGGGCCAGAGGCTTGCAGGCACTGAATGCCTTTGGGATTCAATGGCCATAAGGCACTTAAATACTGGCAAGGGGAAATGGACCCACTGCTTGAAAAAAAATGCTTCTGGGCTCCTAAATCACCACAGACAGGATGTTCATGCACGTCATTGTCTGGGGCGAGTGAGCTCAAAAGCATGCTTTGAGCCCCACCAGTGGCATCTTCTGGGAGCCCCCTGCTCTCCTGTTCACTGCCCCAACAAATCACTTCCAGATGCAGCAGTTCTCTGATGCTGCTGAAACCTGCTGCCATGCCTAGAGGCTCTTTTTATATTC